TCCATGTCTTTCGGTGAAAAAAGTTGAAGCAGCGCCGCGCATGCCCAGGTCGGGAAGTGGTTGTTTCAGACTGAAAGACCAGTGGAAATCCCTTAATTACCGAGGGTATTCCTTAATTACCGCCTAAAACCCTTGATTGTGCAAGTTCACACCTATGTGAACGTGGGGTCGACGTCATTGAACTTGTAGTTGATGGTCTCAAGCGCGTAGGAAAGTCCTACGGCTGATAACCTGTGATTCGGGCACGAGCCTGTGCCCAGGCAATGGGTAAGTTGGGGCAAACAAGCCACAAAGAAAGGTTCCCCAAAAACAAACCAATCCCCGGTCCCAAAGATCAGGGTTTTTTACACACCAGAGAACAACAACCAAAAGGGAAATACCAAAACAAGAAAATAAATACCCGCAACCTTGATCGACGATGAGCCGCACGGGCGATCCCCACCAATCTGCCCCGGGCCGATGTCTCTTTCTCCACCGACACGAAGGTGATCGACGCGGGGACCCGGCGACGCTCATCCGAGGCGCGACGGATCCACAATCTTGAGCCAAAAGCCACCGGTCAGTCACTATCGCGACATCCCTGGTGATGATCTAAAGCATGGCTAATCACAAAAAATAATAGGTTGTTGGTTTTTTCGGGACAGTGCAGCGCCGTTGGCTCCTGAAAACCAACAAATTAGGGACCTCTCAGCGCTTTCGGCTTCCTGCAGCCCAAAATGCTGAGAGGTCCCCAGTTTTCAGGGACCTCGCAGCTGAGAGGCCCCTTAAGCAACCAAACGCAAATGATATGTTCATAGTCTCGGGGCCATAGCTGCCGGAAGGCTGTGCGGAGATTCTCTGTAGGAATGGCGCTGTGTGCAGCGAAGCCTTAATGTGAGACACGCGCTGGAAATGCGGTTCATCCCAGCGTCTTGTAGCTCAGTTGTTTAGGGACAGTGCGGCGCTTTTGGCTCCTGAAAACAACAAACGAAAGACCTCTCAGCACTTTGGGCTTCCCAAGCCTCCACAGTGCCGAGAGGTCCGTAAATGTTGGATCGCAGTAGAATATATGTTAGCTAAAATGTTGGTTTCAGAAGAGCAGTTTTAGGGGACCTTACCACACTTGGGCGTGGTTGCCAAATTGAAACTTGCAAGGATTCCATTCCCTTATTTAATTCCATTTAAATTCTTACTAAGTTCTTTGCAGCGCCTGGTCCGGACATGAATGCACCTATGAACTTGCATTTGTTTGAAAATTGAAAATTGAAAGTGGAAAGGATTGCATTTACTTTCCATTTCCATTGCAAGCCTATTTAGATTCCTATCGCGTTCCTTGACAAATCCAATTTGGACAGGGTTCCACATTGAAATTTGCATTTGGACATGATGTCCAAACTTAAAATTGAATTCGCGCTGAAATTCCTCATCTAATCCCTTGAACTTGCAAATTAAATTGATGTCCAAATTGAAAACTGAAAGGATTCCATTCCCTGCCCCAAATTCAACATGGATTCTAGGGGGGCTAGCACATGCGTATAATTGTAAATCCATATGTTAACGTACACGCTATGAAATAACTATAGCCATTATACTGAGATAAGCTAAGTCTCGGCCCGAGTCCTTACAGGGGTAGACTGTAGTCGGCAGAAGGCGGGCGGTGGTTTCAACATGGATCGGTGCTTTCGTTTGCCTTTCACTGCTGTGGATGCTGGCAATCGCATCACGATTGTTCTGCAGAAGCTTGAGAACCTGGTTTGGGTGAATCCCTTGACTAAGCAGACTTTCCGTGTTGAGTTGATGGCGGCTGTGGGTGCCTTCATGACTCTGCATGGATTCGTGGTGCATTCGGTTTCCAAAGCAGGTGTGGTACGCTTGGAGAGTGATGTGCTTTCGCTTGCTATTGTGCATAAAGAGCCCATGCATGATGATTTCTGCCGGTGCATTGAGGTTTGCGCTGGCATGGGGGGCACAAGTATGGGTGCGTATTTTGCAGGATGCAAGCCGGTGGCCGCAGTTGACTTCACACAGTTGGCAACACAAGCTTTGAAAAGGAATCTTTTTCCGGATGTGATGCAAGGAGACATTGCGGAGCCTGAGGTTTGGGTGCAGCTGCACAGCCAGCATCCGGATCGATGTGGGCTTCTTGCCGGATTTCCATGTCAGCCATTCAGTCAGCTGGGAAGAGGTGCTGGATTTGATGATCCTCGTTCACGGACTTTTTTCCGGGTTCTTGATTTGGCTTGGGCTCTGCAAAGTGCATTTGTCCTATTGGAGTGTGTCAGTCAGGTGGCAACCCATCCGCAGGTCAAAAAGGCCTTGGATCAGTTCTGTCATGCCATGGACTATCACTGGACTTCCGTTCATTTGCAGCTTGCCAACACCTGGCCATGCAAAAGACAACGATGGTGGGCTATCATTTTGCCTCGTGCAATTCAGCTTCCAACGCTGGTGGACTTGCCGCATGAGCCTAGCCTTCAGCGGGTTGCGGATGCCTTTCCATTTTGGCCGCAATGGCCTTTGCAAGAGGAGCGTCAGTTGGAACTCACTGACAGAGAGCGGGAGTTTTTCAGTTGTGATTCTTATCCGCACGTGCCTTGCACTTTGGAAATGAGTGGGAAGTGCCCGACGCTCCTGCATTCCATGGGCTTTCAGCTGTACAACTGTCCTTGCGGGTGTCGTGCTGCATTGTCGGAGTTTTCTCTGGCTAGCAAAGGATTGCATGGAGTGATGGTCGGATCTTGCTGGACTCAGATTCATCGCAGGCATCTTCACCCCATGGAGGCCGCTATCTTGGTGGGAGTGCCTGGTGACTTTTTGCCTGGGACGTTGATCCGCGAGGATTTGCCGTTGCTCAGGCAAGTGGCTTCGCCTATTCAAGCTCACTGGGTCATGGTTCATGTCTTTGAGGCGATTTTTGGGGCTGGTGACATTTCCTGTATGGACAAGCATGTCAAACTTTTGAAGCACATTTGTCAGTCACATTGGCGGAGCTGGCCTCAGCCTGACATGTGCTTGCCGCGTGCCATTCACGTGCAGATTGATGACGAGGCAGCTTTTGCAGTCAAACTGACATACCCGACCACTGCTCGTGAGTTGCTGGACGCTACTTCGCAATTGGGCCTTTGCGCAACTACTGCGGATTTGAGGGCGGGCAATCGCTTTTTGCTGGCAAGAGACATGCTGACACAGGGATCTTTCAACATCTGCAGCAACGGGGTAGGATTTGGCCTGAGTGACAGGCCCATGCCAAATTGTCCTACTCTGGAACAGGGTGGGCTGGATGATCTCACTATGACGCAGGAGGGCCAGAAGCTTGTGCAGCAGTGTGGAGTCCAGAGTGTCTCTTTCTGGGATCCCCGGCACGTGACTATGCTTCTTGAAATGAGGCCTGACGTTGCTCTTCGTGATTTGCAGCAACACGGAGCCGATGGAGTTTCTCAACATGTCGGCTTTCTCTGGCACAATGCGCATTGGTTCTGTTTTCACTTCCAGTGGAATGGTATCAATCTGCAGGCTGACTTCTATGATGGACAGGCTAGTGATTTGCCTATTGATGCTCATTCGCTGGCTTTCCTTGTTTGGGAATCCTGAATTTCGCATCGGGCATCACCATCTCATTACCCAACAAAGTCGTTCCCACTGTGGGGCTGTGGCTTTGCTACACCTGGGGGTTGTACTGCAGCTTTGGATGGACGCTGATGAGGCCACAGCCTGGCTTTGGCATGAGGTCCTTCTCCACAAGCAGCGCAGAGTTGGGCGAGGCAGATCGGATGATGAGGCTGCAGTTGGTTTTCTTGCGGATCTGCTTCATACCAAAGGTGTTCCAGAAGAAAGTGCCAGGCCTAGAGCGCTGGCTGCTATCAAGAAGCTTGGGCTTGGAGCTGTTCAGAATGCGCTTGTTGCCAAAGACCCTTGGAGAGCTCTCAGATCTTGCCATCCATGGTCTGCCACTTCCAGGACCATGCATCCAGTATCACTGAACGAACCTCCTCATCCACCGCAGCGTGAAACTTTTGACATGCTCGGTTGCAGTCATCTCCAGCACAATACTGCAAGAAAGTTGTGCAGGCAACCAAGAACTTCACCGGGCCTTTCATGAAATTCTCCCAGTCATCGCTGAAAGCATCTCTGTAGAGCTGCGCCCGGAGAACAGTGGTATCGACATGTGGAACAGCAGGAGCATTGTCGACCTTTGCCCTGGTAACTGGCACGTCACCAAGTTGCACCAATGTATCCTGAATCAACACAGGCTCAGCTGTAGGCTTGTATACAGCCGGCCACTGCAGTGAGGAAACAGTGGCCGCAATTTTCCGCGGATCCAAAGAGCCTATGGTCAAGACAGCCAAGGCCTCTACACTCAAGTTCTTGGAGTTGGAAGCAAGCTCCAAGGCAAACTCCGGAGTAACAATCGCAATGCCGCGGCTGTTTGAAACCACCTTTAAAGTGATCTCTTTCACCGTCTTCTCACTCGCGTCCACAAAGGTTCCCGGAATGAGCTCCAAATGCTCCGGGATAAGCTGCACATCCGGCGCCTTCACTGCTTCTTGGCCTTGCCTTTTGAACTGCCGGCGCCATCTGCAACCCCGCCCCTGTGTGCTGCTGCAGCCCCTGGTACAGGACAAACTGAAAAGGCTTGGATTGGTGCGACCCGATTTCCTTCCAAGATGATGCATGCGGATTGTTTTTCGGTCTATCTGCGTGTACCTACCAGTGGAGCCAGAGATATTTTGGCGGTGAGTGGATGGCATGGCATCTTTTTCGAGCCCAGGGCTGCAACGGTGCATGAAATATGTGATGCCTACAAGGTGATCTGGCTGCCGAGAGGAACCACCAGTGATGAGGCCTTCAAGCACATGAGAAGTCTGGATGAAGTTCTGGGTTTGGCCAGGATGAAGTACAAGCTTGGCCTGCGTGTCCTGGAAAAGGATGAGATGTCTGTACTCAAGGTGGTCCATCCCAACTCCACTATGGTACCGTGTCCAATTGTGCACACTTTTGAGGTTGGGCCCCTTCCGTTTGGCATGGGCAAAGAACAGATTGTTCAGCTCTTGGCTAGCTGGAAGTGGAAGGCACGGCCGCTTAGGCCTCTGAGGTCCACTGCTATGGGCAAGTACTGGGAGATTGGTGCAGATCTTCAACCAGATTCTTTGCTGCAGAGCACTGATCATGGCGATGTGACTATCTCCCAGAAGACCAAGCCGCAAGCCAAAACTCAGCAAGCAAAGATGATGTTTGCGTCTGCGAGGACCACTTCTGTGATGCGTGGCAAGGCTTCCTCTAAGTCAGACTCAGCTGGTGATCCATGGCAGGAAGGTCATGATCCTTGGGCGGCTTGGAAAACTCCTGGTGGGCCGAGCTTGCAGAAGAAGATTTTCCCGGATGCAGCTGATCAGGGAGGAGGCGAGACCAGAATGAAGTATAGCTGCCTCCAGCAGCAGGTTGATGAGCTCAAGCAGATGGTCGGCAATGATGTGGTGATGGACCATGCTGCTGATTCCAGCAATGCTAGTGCTACTCAGGAGCTTCAAGCGCAGCATGTGAAGTTCAATGCCTGGTTTCAAGAAGTTGGCAACAAGGTTGGCTCCTTGGAGGGTAAGCTTGAGAAGCAGGACGCGCAGTTGCAGGAGGTGCGGCTGGCAGTCAACGAGCAGGCTGCTGCATCTTCTTCCCTACAGAAGCAACTTTCAGGTATCCAGACGGCCGTGCGAGCGGATATCGACCATGCAATCAACCAGCAAACAAGCCGTCTTGAGGCATTGCTGGAAAAAAGAGCAAAGACGAGCTGACTATGCAGGAAGGGGCAGCGACTGCAGTCTAGGCTGCCCTGGTTCCGGTGCATTATTTGGCTGCTTTTTCTTTTGCTTGGTCCTGTGGAGGTGGCTTCGCGCAGGATTGGGGAAGCAACAAACCCGGGGCCCGCAACAATTGAGGTCACCATGGGGACGGTGAATGTTGCTGGACTTACCAAGCGAGTTCAACCAGTGATGGATTTGACTCCTGGGATATGGGGTCTCACAGAGACTCAGCAGACAGCTGATGGCTTTGCAGCCTTCAAGGCTAAAGTGAGGTATCAAACGCGAGACTCTGGCAGAGATGTTCGTTTGCTTCGAGGAGCTCCTGCCCCGCCGAGGACAATAGACTCAGTTGCTGGAGCATGGACAGGTGTTTGTGTGATGTCGGACTTCCCGCTGAGGCAGCTCGCTTTCCCGTGGAAGGGCTGCGAATTCTCATCTGGAAGGATTTTGACGAGTAGTACGTTTGTGGGGCGGAACCAAGTGATTGGAGCAGTGGTGTATGGGGCGGCTCAATCTCCTACTTTCAAGCACCCTCTCAAGATCACAGGAGATCTTCTGGAAGCTGTGACGCAGCATATAGTTCTGGGAACTCGTGGCATGCGGTATGTCTGCGGGGACTTCAATGCTGATTTGTTTCAACTTGAACAAACATTGCTGTGGCAGCAACTGGGATGGAGGGAACTACAGTTTGAAGCGTGGCAACGATGGCATCGACCAATGATGAGTACCTGCAAAGGAGCGACGCAGCGGGATTTCTTCTGGGCCTCTCCAGAACTGCTCAGTCATCTGGTGGATGTGCAGGTTACTCACAATGGTTTTCCTGATCATTCGGTCGTGCAGGGGCGTTTCAGTTTCCCTTGCGCAGATGAGCCTACTGCCTTCTGGTCTTATCCTTCGCCTATGCCATGGGAACGGATTGATACGGATGCGTGGCGCTCGCAAGTGAGTGGACATTTTGCTCCTTTTCGGTGGGACAGGGACCGGATGACTCAGAATTTCAAGACCTGGAGTGACAGAGTGGAACAGTCCTTGCACGGATTCTACCAGGTGGAGCATGGTTCTTTGCCGGCCAGGTATCGAGGCAGAGGGCAATGCCTTGAGCCCAAGCGGAGTTCTACCGCAGCGCGCCTTTGCCGCCCTGCTCGTCCTGGTGAAGAGGCTCTGCAACATGACTTCTTGGGGCGGAAAGTCCACCAGTGGCAGCTCAGGCGTCTACAAGCATTGCTGCATTCTCTGCGGAATGGTCATTTATCCCCTGGAGCGTGGACTTACCAAGCGCAATGCTGGTCTTCAATTCTCCGAGCTAAAGGATTTGTCGGTGGCTTTCGAGGCGGGTGGAGCGATAGACGGATTCGTTTGCAAGCTTCTCCGGAAGAGATTCCTGACGCTTTACCGTTGCTGCAGATGCTTGAAGATGTCTTTGAGGATTTCCGGCTCAATTTCCGAGCGCTTGAGGCTGAAGAGGTGGGTTTTCGTCGGAAGGTTGTTAAGCTTCGTCGAGAGCAAGTTCTCACTGATCTTTTCAAGTGCATGAAGCCAGATCCTCCTTTGCCTCTGGATTCTATTGTCCACAAGGACTATTTCGAAATTGTGGAAGTGGATGTGGAAGAAGACCTGGTCAAGCTCTCCAAGCCATGCTCTTTACATGGTGATTTCTTCCTCAATCATGAACTTGTGAGCATTCAGCGGTCTCCAGACGACACCCGGGATGCTACCTGGGTGCGGCTAGATGCAGACACTTTGTTGGTGCCGGGGCAAAAGCTTCACGTTGAACGACCTTTAACTGCGGTGATGGAAATTCAAGCCGAGCTGCGCCAGTTATGGGAACAACGCTGGAAGACGCTGGCTGATGTGCTCGCGGATGCTTGGAGGAGAATATATGCATTTGCAGCGCAGCACATGCCTCGCTTGCAGTTTGAATATGCTCCCTTGCAGGCTGCAGATGTCACCAAGGTGTTGAGCAAAGGCCGAGGGCTCCGAACCCGTGGGCCTGATGGATGGCAAAAACAAGACGTTCTCAAGTTGCCCGACATTTTTCTGGGAGACCTGGTAGGCCTTTATACTGAGGTCGAACAACATGGTACTTGGCCTCGACAACTGGTTCAAGGACATGTTTCTTGCTTGGCTAAGGTGCCGGATGCGCAGGAGGCCAAGCAGTTTCGGCCTATAACCCTTTTTTCTCTGCTTTACAGAATTTGGGGCTGTGCCAGATCCAGGTCTTTCCTCCGGCAACTTGCTGGGTCAGCCAACCTTTCACGCACATGGCTACCTTGCAGGCAGAAGCTGCGCTGACATCACCTATGCTATTCAAGCTGGCGTTGAATTGGCGGGCGTCACGGGCTGTGCATATAGTGGTGGGCTCATTGACATTGTTCGGTGCTTCAATTGCTTGCCACGGACTCCTATATCTTTCCTTGCAGAGCGGTTGGGTATTCCGGAGCCTGTCAGACATGCCTGGATGACCTTTCTTCAGCACTCTGAAAGGGCTTTCAAGGTTCGAGGGCAAATTGGCGGCTGGAGCGGCTCGGACACAGGGCTGCCAGAAGGGGATGCTATGTCCTGCCTCGGTATGCTTCTGGTAAATTTTGCCTTTCACTCTTACATGGAAGCCTTTTGTCCAGCGGTTACCGCGTACAGCTATGTTGACAACTTGGAAATCACGGGTGGTGCCTACGCTGACATTGTGCAGGGATACCTGACCATGGAGGTGTGGACTGATCTTTTCAGACTGGAAATTGATCAGGAAAAGTCTTCCTTCTGGTCAACATCTCCGGCTGACAGGAAGTTGCTCGAGTCCTTGGGCTTCCCTGTGCGATTGGCTGGTAAAGACACGGGCGCCTCCATGTGCTATGGCCTGCAACATCGTAATCGACAGATGCAGACTCGGATCTTGGATGTTCAGCCTTTCTGGAACAAGTTGCGGAAACTCAACATTGCCTTGTGGTACAAACTTCTGGTGGTACATACAGCTCTTTTTCCGCGTTCTTTGCATGGATGTGCGCAGGTTACGTTTGGATGGCGGTGGATCATCAAACTCCGCACTTGGACCATGCGTGGGCTGCGAGTGGACAGAGCTGGCGCAAATCCCGCACTGAGGCTTGCTTGTGTACTGCCAATTTTGACAGATCCCGGTTTCTATGACTGCTGGACGACTTGGCGCACCTTCTTTCAGCAAATGATGATCAGTAGAGGTCTTCGAAACAGCTGGGCGCGATACATTGAACTGCATGATGGTAAAAGAGGACATGGCCCTTTCACCAAGATTCTCGATTTTTGTGCCTGGTTTGGATGGACAATCTCTGCTGATTTGCTTCTGGGCACAGATTTTGGCTGTTTTGACCTTCTGCTTCTCACAAAGCAACACCTCCGGAAGTTGGTTGAATTTGCTTGGGGATGCTCGGTGGTTGGAGAACTAGGCCACCGTCGGGACTATGCTGGCTTGGCAGGGATTGATTACCATGTTTCCTTTTTCAAACCGCGAAATTTGGATCGCACTGACAGTGCGCTGCTGGACTGCATACGGGATGGCACTTGTTTTCTGAACACCTTCAAGAGCAAATTTGACATCTCCATTTCCTGTCTTTGCGAGCATTGTGGACAAGAGGACACTCTGCAACACAGGGCATTATCCTGTGGATATTATGCAGAAGAGCGTGCTGCTTTTCCGGATTGCGTTGGCATGTGGAGTTCGTGCTGCGCTGCTCTGACCCATCATGGCATTTCCTCAGAGCACCGGTTTCAGGCAGTGTTCAACATATTTTCACTGATGGATCCTGCACAGATGCCAGAGTGCCCACACTGGCTTTGGCAAGTTGGGCTTGTGTACATGCAGACGGAGCAGTTGTGCTGCAGAGCGGTCTTTTACCTGGGATGTTGCAGAACAATGCGCGCGCAGAGCTTTATGCAGTGATAGTGGCCATGGCATGGTGCCGTTTTCATGCATGCTCAGCAATTGTCTACACGGACTACGACTACTTGTGTCGGCATGGCGCCGTTCCATCTGCCTGGAAGGACGAAGACCTGTGGGAGCTGGTCTTGCAGCTTCTTGCTAGTTTGGACGGCATAGTCACACTGATCAAAACCTCAGCGCATGTGGATGTGGCGGCACTTGTTGATGTAGCTGACTCTGACCTGGTGTGGCAGGCACACTGGAATGAGGCAGCAAATGTTGCTGCCAAGTCAGCTCGAATGAATGCGGACACGGCTGGTTTTCGGAAACTGTATGATGAGCTTTGTGTACAGCATCTACATAACCGCAATTGCAGTCGTCGTTTTCAGCTTTTTCTCCTTGCGTTGGCCAAGAAAGCCCTGATCAAAACCCCTGATCCTGATGATGAAGATTGGGTAGGAGACGATTTCTTTTTGACCGCATCTCCAAATACTGGAGACTTTTTTGACACTTTGCCTCTCAATCCATATCCGCTGCTTAGTCAACATGAGCAGGTGAGGGCTTTCAGTGGCACGACTGCCAGGGCTCTCACGGATTGGATCTCGAGTTTAGATTTGGAGGCCACCATGGAAATGCCTGTGTCTTTTTTGGAATTGTTTGTTGGTTTCCACCTGCAGTCCGCTGTTGTTTTGCCCGTTTTGGTTTCCAATGAAAGGACACAGACTTGGATTGACCCCTCTGCACTTTCTGCCGGTGAGACCTTTCCTCGGACCTTGGGGGCGTTGGTTGGTGTTTTCCGTTTTGCTTTGTTTTTGGTTGCCGATGTGTTTGGTTGGGAGCTGAAAGTGGAGCAGGTAACTCGGCCTTCTTGTGGTATTTTAAGGCTGTTACCGGGGGTTGTGTTTCCTTGGCCTGATGCGCTGGCGCAACGTGTTCACACTGTGCTGGCTGCTTTCTTTAAGTCCAGGCCACTTCGGAGGGCCTGTGATTTTGCACGTTCGTGGCCTTGAGCCGCTTCTTGAAGTGCAGGCTCAGCATCGCTCAAGCTGTGCTAGCTGCATCGGCGCGACGCTGCGTTCGAGTGGGGAGAATAAATATACTGAGATAAGCTAAGGATGGGCTCACTGATGCATGATAAAGAAACATATATGATTTGTAAGGCATTGGTGCGACTACGCCAAGCGTGGGGCCGATGTATCGATGGAAGCCTGGGCAAAGGATGCGCGTTGGGTGCTCATTGAATGCCCTCCGCAAAGATATGAAATGAGATAATGGTTACAGGTCAGAGGGGGCGCTTCGGAAAGAACTCGGCGCGATCACAAAGCCTCTCCCCAAGCCCCTCGACATGCCCACTGGCCTGCTCTGCGGTCTCTGGTGAGTCAAACCAAAGTAAATACTCCGCTCCGAACTTGATCTGCGTCTCCTCCACAAAGTCCGGCTGCACCGGCAGAAGAGACAATACGAAAGACTGGCGGCTCTTTGTGCCGGCCACACCTGGGCGGAGCTGCCCCCTGCCTTGCAAAAGCACCTCCTCCTCAAAAAGCGTGGCTTTTTCGACCCATGGTGTCACACGTGGCCAAACAAAACGCGTCGTTCACGTTTCTTGGGCGCGCCTTGCTTCTTCAGAGCCTCGGCCTCCGCCTGCATGGCTTGGTTGTCGCGCTTCAGCGGCTGCACCGCGTCTGAGAAGAGCCGGGTCTTGCTGGCCAGCGCGCTCTGCAGCTGCCACTGCGTCACGTGGCCGGGGATGCCGGAGAGGTGAAGCAAAGTGGGCTGCACCTCGCCCTTTGGCTCCTTGCCTTTGGCTCTTTTGGCTCCTTCTGGCTCCACCAAGCGGTGACAACCCAAGAAATCCAAGAGTCCCAAATTGCCAATTTTGCCAATCGTGGACTATAAGGACAATGTAAGGAGTGCACCCCAGTTTGTTCAAGCATTTTTGGAAGAGCGCCCCAAAATGTACACTTGAATGAATCCAGTCCTTGACCCTTGCCGTTGCCTCCCTTTCGAAATGGCTGGGCCTGGACTTTGCCGACGCCCTTGCCTGGCAGTACCAGATCAACAGGGACCCGGAAATCTTCGCCCTGCTGTCCGACAATGTCAGCGACCGCTTCTCGGGACCCGCAGTCAACGATTGCCATTCCTCGGTGCGGCACTCCAGTCAGTCGAACTCGCACACGGCACTGCAGAGCCAAACCGCTGGTCTGCACTGGCGCTGGCCTCATCGTGATGAGGCGGTTGCCGATGATGGAGCCTTGCAGTAGGCCGCAGGCCCGGGATGCTGCCTCTGTCGTGCGGAAGCTCGCGCGGCCCCACACTCGGTGCTGCTCGCTGTCCCAGCGCACATCGGCATCCACTCCGGCATCAAAGCGCGCGAGCTGACGGCCCAGCTCTTCGGCGATCCCCGCCTCGCCCTTCAGCCGCGATTTCACCTGGATGATGACTGGCCCCTCTTCCGCCTGCGCGGCCTCACCGGAACGCTGGTCCCCCTCCGCAACCAAGCGATGCGCAGCAAAAGGCTCATAGCGCAGCTCCACCAAGCGCATTCGCATTCCCCTTGAAAAGGCATGCATGCCCACCACCTTCATCACACTAAAAGCTGGTAGCAAGATCTCGGCCTCTCCTGGAAAAACAGAGATGTCATTCACCTCAGTGGGCTGTCAGAAAAGGCTTGAGCTCTTCGCGTCCCACCCAAGGGACCAACCCAACAAATCGAACACCATTTGCAAAATTGAAAGTCAAGTCACAGGGCAAGCATGCGGGATGGTGATTTCAAAGAGAAAGGTCTCAGAACCGGAGCTCGCGGTTGCAGCAGCGAACTGCTGGGCTACTTGACGGGAGGTCGATGTGGAGGTGAATGCCGGCCAAATTACTGATTGGCCCACGACATACTCAGCAGCACTGGCAAGAGGAATGCTGCAACCACGGTAGACGACTTGCGCACCCAGGTTGCTTGCGTGCAATGAGCGCCTCCGCACGAAATTCTGCAACGCGTGGAGGTACGGCGCAAATGGTCTACACTGGCCTTCTTTGCACTCGCGCAGGAACGGGTTGCAGCGGTAGCAAAGTCCACCTGCTGTGTACTCGATCGCTGCCACGGTGCTGGCCAAAGGCATTTCCCTCAGGTCTGTAATGCGGCTGTTTTTCTGCCTTGCCTGGCGCTCATATGTCGTCCAGGTGGGGATGACCCACTGGGCGTCCAGGTCAGTGACGTCTTGGAGCTTGCTGGCTGCCAACTCGGCAAAAAAGCCCGGGGGGATCTGTCGCAGCGTCTTGATCGGCTCACTGAGGCGATCAGCGGCATCAGTGGTGTTGAAGACCACGGAGATGGACTGCCCAGCTGCCAGCAGAATTTCGCTGCACACCCCGCCGGTACCAACCACTGCCCGCGCGCCCGTGCCAGGGATCGCCCACTCCCTCCGCCGCTGCTTCAGCTGAACCGCAATGGCTGACACCTGGGACTCCACAATAGAAGCAATCTCCTCCCGCTTCTGGTCACTGCTGCACATGACCAGCACCATCCGTGCTCTTTGGTCAACTTCCATGACTAGGACCTCACCCTCCTCCAAGAAATCTTCCTGCAGCTCCTCCTGCAAAGCAGCAACCTTTTGGCCCCTCGGCCCAGCAAAGCGCCGCAAAGCCAGCGGGCAATCTACCTTCACAACGCTGGGATAGCTCATCTGCTGGCGATGCCGGGCAGCCTGCAGGAAAGACTGGAACCGGGGAGACTCGCGGTAAGTGGCAGGCAGCTGATTCTCGAAGCCCTCGTTCACTCCGCATAGATTGCTGATGCTGATGTATCCCGAATCCATAATCTCCATGAACAAGATAACTTTGGGGTAGGCAGTGTTGAGCCGGAAAGCAGCCACGGGCTGCGTCCTGCCAACCTGACTGTTCTGAGGAATGTAATAGGTTGGCAATGCCTTTTCGTCGCTTGGCCGTGGGGGCAGGTAAAAGGCCAGGTTGCCAAAGAAACCGGCAAGTAAGGCTTGAACCAACAAGGCCAAACGAGCTTCGTCTCGAAAGGATTCTTCTGTCAATGACTCCAGGGCTCTGGCAGTCTCCCCGGCATCCGCGCTCTCGGCCTCAGCCTTGTCCAGCCCGCAACCGGAACATTGTACGAGAGATTGGCCGTTCTGCGCTTGGCAGGCCGGGCAAAGCCAGGCATCAAGAGATGAGCGCTGCATCTCCTGGAGCATGCCTTCATTGCCCAGCGGCATGGGAAAAAAGGTGCACAGTGCTGGCTGGTCATGCTTAGAAACTTTTAACTAACTTGAAAATGACTTAAACGGGCACTCAACTGGAACATAAATGGGTACTTAACAACCAGGATGCTGTTGACAAGGCCTCTGCCCTCCTTCAAAGCATGGAAGCCCACTGAGTGCTCCGAGCACCAGCGCCCCAGCTGCACTTCCTTGTTGGAGCTCAGCCACACAGCTGCCGCCGCCCCCACGTCCCCCAACCCTGGGAAGCGCTGCGCGAAGTCGCTGCGGTGCTGGAGAACCGAGGCCTCCGGAACATCACCCAACATGCTAGTTCCTTTGGGTGTGGTGGAAAGGGGAATGTTTTGAATGGCCAAACATAGGTGTCCCCCAATTCCTTTCATCGTTCCGTCTTCCCTATATAAGATCTCCAGGGGTCAACCCCTCCCCCCAATTCCATGTTCAAGGGGGTGGGGACGGGCCTTCTGCTCATCGCTGCGGCCTCGCCGGAAAAGAAAGCCCGTGAGCTGCGTCATGCCCAGCACCACACTCGCCAGATCCAGCACACGCAAGCGCTGCGCCGCGAACAAAATGGCGGCCACCCTTGGCTGCACCGACATCTGCGCCATGGCCATACCTTGCTCGGTGAGCTTGGGGCTGTCGATGCTGCTCAGGGCCCCGAAGTGGTGTAACATCTCCAGAGCTTTTTCAAGTCGGGCATCGCCAGGGTGTTCCACGAATGGGAACTCCCGAATGTTGTCTATCCACTCTGGCTGGCGCTGAATCTGCCGGAGCACCATCAGGATTGCGGCTGTCGCATCCGCTCGCAGAAGCTCTGCCGGCTGGTCCTTCTCCAAGTCTGCAAACTCTTCCTCCGAGTAGAGTCGGAAACATTCCCCGGGCGCTGTGCGACCAGCCCGGCCGGCCCGCTGCTTCGCGCTGCTCTGCGCAATGAGGCCGACCCGTAGCACTGTGGCATCCTTCAGGGTTCCCCCGAACTTTCCCTTTAAAGCGCACGGGGAACTCCTGTAAACAGAAAGACCTGGCTTTCCGCAATCTCATCATTTGCTTACAGCCCCGCGCCACACCAGCATATAATCAATCCACTCGCCAAAATCTAGACAAAATGCTTCAAGTTATTCATTTTGAAGAATAACTTAAACCATTTCAAACAGTCTCGCAACAGTTATTGATATGTCTTTCACTTGATATTTGGTCGCACCAAGAAAAATAAATTTCTGTCTTCTTACATTTTAAACATCTAAACCACAGCACACCATTTTTCAATTCTTTTTCGTCAGGTCGTTCCAATTTTTCACCATTCAAACTTTTCTGTAAAAATATTTATGGTTCCCAGATTTCTCGTGTTGAAACTTCTTTTCTTTTTTAACTTCATAATCACACAATTCGCAATAATGAACTTTTTGCCGGTTTGCTTGTATTGTTGCTTTCCCTTTCTCGCTTTCTCTGTATTTCCCATTCTTTTCTTTTATTTGTTTAGAGTTATTTTCTCTGTATCTGCGCAATGTCTCAGCCACTTTGTCAGGGTTTTCAATTTCCATTGCTTCTTCTTTTCATCATTTTTAATCTTATTTTGTTCTCGGCAGTAATTACAAAGTTTAATCATATTCTTAAACAAATCAGATGAATAAGTAGTATCACATTGCTTACATTTTTTCACTTCTTCAGTCATCCTCTACCATAGTAAGAGACTATCCCTTTAAATAGTTTTAGACACAATAAATATCAAGGTTTAGTTTTCAACCAAATCCCTCTAACGAGGTCTGGGTAAGCCACCTGTCCTGAAAAACAAACACCAAACAACAAACCACACAAAAAACAAAACAACAAACAACACAACAGATAATTACATAACACTCACCTACGGCATCAAAAATAAAAACAATAATACTTCCACCATAAAGACTTCCGCCGAGGGAGGGGGGGAGGTTCCACCAAAGGGGGAAAGAGGTTCCACCAAAGGGGGAAGCTCCTATTAAAAAAGTGATAAACTTGTTTCCACCAAAGGGGGAAAGAGGTTCCACCAAAGGGGGAGAGGGTAGGAGCGACGGGTGGCAGAAGCCATAGTAGTAGTAGTAGTAGTAGTAGTAGTAGTAGTAGTAGTAGTAGTAGTAGTAGTAGTAGTAGTAGTAGTAGTAGTAGTAGTAGTAGTAGTTCATTTTTAAGATAATGATTGATTATCTTAATAATGATTGTTTTTTTATCTCAACCATATTTGGGCAACTGTCCTACCGATTTCATGGTCAAGTTCTTCATTATAAAGCTGGTTGAAGTATTTGTTATTAGCATTTTTTCAGTTTTGCTAGTTCTTGCTCTTCCATTGCCTTTGTGTGCTTTGTAGTTGTTTTATGTCTTGTGATATGTGATTTGGTTGAATAACACCCGCGCTCACAAAGTATGTGTTCCTTTTTCTTTTCTCTGATGCTTTCCCAGTTTTTCTGCCTATATTCTTTGTCTTGTTGTTTTTTGTATTCTTTGGTGTTTTCTCTCTATTGTTTGGATTTTGCTTTGATGTGCTCCTTATGGTCTTTGTAATATGCTTTGTGCTTCTCTGCCATCTGCTCCTTGTTGTTATTGTAGTATCTCTTGTCCCAATCTGACTGAGTCCCACCAGCAATGAATTTATTGACACAGTTTAACTGCTGAATGTAATGCCCTTCTCTTGCTTTCAGTTGCTCTGGTAATCTTCAAGCAGTTCTACTTTACAGTTTTCTTTGCCGTATTTCTCAAACAACACCGCTGACGAACACGCATTTGATTTGTATGTTTCACGGTGATGCCCAAACCTTTTGCTTAAAGATTGTATGGTTGAACCAACATAGCATTCATTGTAGCCAATGTCTGTGAGTTTATGGAAATGACTTTTCCTTTCAGCCATATTCCTCACTTGCTTCCATCGGAACGGATGTTGGATTTGTCTTCCTGCCAGTAGAATACCTTGTCCTTCACCTGAAGAGGCTTAGAACTAATTCGGAGATTTTGAGCAAGGTCTCGTCGGATGTCTTCGGATTGACGCGCTTCTTGGAATGCTTGCTTGGACAGCTGCTTGATCTGGATGGCTGTCAACTCTTCTTCATTCCTGTCAATCGTCAACTGAGTTGGTGTTGCGACATCGAGTTGGATGAGATCTGCTGGTCGTCTTCCGAACGCGAGCTCCAATGGTGCTACACCCCCGTAGGTGACAGTCTGATTCCTGACAGTTGCAGCGGCCTTCACCAGCTGTCTGTGTGTCACTTTCTTCAGTGTTGCAGGTGCTGTTCCTGCCTTGATGGAACTTAGCATGATCTTGAGTTGTGCCTTCAGGAGTCGAACTGCTGCTTCAGCTCGATTTGGCCATGGTGTGTTCGGTCCCAAGGATACCGGCGTGATGTCAAGGGACTGATAGAAATGTTCCCATGTCTCTGTCATGAAGGCTTGATCTGCGACAACTGACTTGGGCTGCAAGTGGTACTGGTCAAAATAGTTCCTGAGGACAGTGATGTTCTCGACTTCTTGCGTAGTTGTCACTGCCTCTGCAGTGAGCAATGTTGTTGCTCCATCCAGGATGACAAAAACAATGATGTGTTCTCCTGTTCCAAGAGGAACTTGACAGTGATCAATGAATGTCATGTCACCAAAGGTGTCCGCCCGAAGTCCACTCGTCTTGCTTCGTGATGGTGCATGTTTTGCCGCTTGGCAAACTTCACATTCACTTCGGATTTTGTCAAATAGATCGAATGTTGATTTCGGCAAATGAAGTGAGCGAGTTCTAAATCGAAATTGATCTGTTGTCATGTGATGATGCTGGAGGTGGAGCTTCTTCAACTCTTCGGGATTTGACAATCGCTTGTGGATTCTGCCTAGGGCAAGCGGAAGCGATGTTGGTTCTTCTGAGGATGGTGCGAAAGGATCTGGCTCAATGGTCGACCGGCCCTTCCTGTCGATGATCCTGTCTGCTGCCGATCCTGAACCTGCTTCTTCGTCTTTAAGCGAATTGTCCGCGAAGGTGAATATGGTCTTACCTATCCACAGGTTAATCATCTGTTTGTTTGCCTGGGATGTAAGTCTCCAATTGTCTTCTAGTATGTCTGGATCTCCACCTACGGATGCATCCATGATTTCCGTAGTACGCTCTCGGCTGATGTTATCAGGATTGATTGGACATTCCTTGGCTCCATTTGGTGTGAACAGCGCCTTGCGGGGCGTGATGTGCACACGGATGAGCTGCTTGTTCTTCTTGTCAAGGATCCAATGGTCCTGCTTTTGAGACCCAATGATTTTAGGAGTTGCTAGGTCCTCCTTTGTCTCGGATCATTTTGCTGCACAAACAGTTTCACTCTTGGAGATATCCCCGGAGGGAAACTTGATGCTGTTGTCATCATCGTAGACATAGTTGGAGAGGCCCTTGTGAGCAATTTCTCCATGTGCCTTCACTCTTGCAACTCCAGCGAGGTCGACGAGTGCATGTCCTGTACCGGATACTGGAACTGCTTGACGGTTCATGCCAAAGGCCTTGCATGTGATCTTGTCACATTGAGGTGTATGCTCGATGGTCATGTAGAGGTTCCGCATCTGACTGATGCTGAGGAGGATCGGTACAGTTCCTTGTTCAAGGACGTCGATGTTGGTACTGCATGGAGGAGTTGTGTGATATCGAAGATGCAGGGTCCAATTTACCCTAGCGGTCTCTCCGTTTGCAAAAGTGAACTTGGTCTCGGCCGGGATGTACTGATAGGAGATGATGTCCTTCATTGGTTCGATGGCCTGGGTAAAACGCTGGATTGCATGCCAGCTGCCCATAGATCTGGCACATCCATTGTTCAGAATCGCATAGGTCGGGTTGTGCTGAGGGTTGATGACAGGCGCCATCAGCTTTGTTGCCAGAAGGCCATGATTTGTTGTGACGGACAGATTGTGTTCTGAAACTGTATCTGATTGGATCAGCTTCTCGTGGATGGCCTCTTTCTCATGATGCTCATATGCATCATGGAATGCCATTAACGCTTGTCCTGTGCTGGATGTCTCATGGGATGAGTACCAGCCATGTTCGTTCCATGTCCATGTTTGATCCCAATCTTGGTCTGTCCAACCGGCATAGGTAGGCTTTGTGGATGGTGCAGTCTGCTGGATGGCGGGCTGCTCCTCCGTCTTCTCTGAGATGGCTGCGAACGTCTTGGATTTTCCTTTGTCATGTCCGCCTTTTCCCTTGCCATTCTCATAGCGTGGATAACCCTTGTTTCCATCATAGGGATATTGGAATTTTCATTTTCCTTTCTTTCCCTTCTTTCCTTTGCCTTTTCCCCAATATGCCTGGTCGTAGGGATCATAGTTTTCATTGGCCATATTGGCCTTCCCGCCAGAACCGCTTTTTCGAAAGGGTTTGAAGCCACCTCGTTGGTGACTGCCCTTTTTGTTTCCTGACTTTCCTTTTCCTTTTTTCTTCTTGAATTTGAAGTTCCGCCCCGACACTTTTCTTGCTATGAACGCATCGTTCTCCTCGAGGACCCAGAATGTCTCTTCATCGTTGTTTGACATGAATCCTTCAAGTCCTTCTTCATCCTCAACCCAAAAGCCTTCCTCTCCTTCGTATTCACCTTGCTCGATGATGAAGAAAGTGTTGCTTCGGTTGCCTCCTTGAGGTCGGATGGATGGATCTTGAATGGATGTTCTGGTCGTGATGAAGAGTTCATGGTAATGAGTCTTCAGCATGTCATAGGAGTAGTTCTCTAGTGAAATGTTCCTGAGTGACATTGCGCTCGTCAGTCTTTCTCTCTGCTGATCTGACAATTCACTCTGTATGATGAAAAACTGCGCAATGAGATTGTCCCCGAAATGAAATGCGTCCCGCTGTCTGTCCTGCATTCCCGTGATACACTGTCTGAGGACTGTCGGATCATCCTCATGGAGCAGGACTGGAGGCGGTGCTCGAACACCGGCTGCTTGCTGATGTCGAGCAATTGTTCTTGCATTTGCTTCCTGT